CTTGGATTCGATCTTTACTTAAAGCCCGCATTCCCTTTGTGAGTTCATAGCCCAAAAGGGTGAGGTAGGATTATTTTGTGGGGGGTATGGACACAATGGGTATTGCTCTGCTTCTGGAAAATGAAGTGTATATTGAGTATAGCAGGCATAGTATGCCAAGGAGCTGATGAACCAGTTTGGACATGTGCTGTATTTCTCTTATGGCAAAGCGTTGGGAGGATGAGTATTTTGAGGAAAAGAAAAATGTGAAGTGAAAGTAATCCTGTACAAAGACAATCGGACATGATTCGGATAAATAATAGCAATCAATTCAACTCTGCCTTCACCCTGGTGCCCTCTTTCCACAGATGCCTACGTGGATTCTTGCAAACTACCATTAGCTTTCTGCAGAGACTTAAGTGTATGTGTAAATCTTGCTAATAAACCCAAAGCTGCTCCCCAACCAGGATCCATAATTTTCCATCAAGCTCCTTTTCCCAATAGCATCTGCACACTTGTTGCAGCTTGGCTGATGACTGGGATCTCCTTTCCTGGGTTCCCAAAATTGTATTTCCATCAACTCATCCATATCTGTGGCTTTAGATCTTCATGAGATCTGACTGGGATGTGGGGCAGAAGCTGAAAAGCAAGAGGAGAGGATAACTACGTTGTGATCCTGTAGTTGGCCAAACCTAGTGGGGAGATTAGAGACAGGGGGGATAGGCAGCTGGGGTCCATTGGGGTCTGTTCTGATGGCGACTCTAGCAGAGCTTGAATGTGAGGACTCTCTTGTGTCCTTTACTGGCAGATGTGTAGATGGGGAGCAGTCTTACTTCACATGGATTCCTGAAAAAAAATAACTAACTCGCAGTGCATATTTGAAGGCAGAGTTTCTGTGCTTCAGTGAGGAAGACTTTACAGTCCTGAACAGAGCATATAGTCTGGGTACCCAAGGCCCCTTGAGAGTTTTGCAGATGACATCAAGCTGGGGGGAATAGTAGACATGCTGGAAGGTAAGGCTAGGATTCAGAGTGACTTAGACAAATTGGAGGATTGGACCAAAAGGAATCTCCTGAGGTTCAACAAGGACAAGTGCAAAGTCCTGCACTTAGGACAGATCAGTCCCATGCACCGCAGGCTGGGGACTGACTGGCTGAGCAGCAGCTCTGCAGAAAAGGACCTGGGGGGATGACTGGACAATTAGCTGAATCTGAGCCAGCAGTGTGCCCTTGTTGCCAAGAAGGCTAATGGCATCCTGGGCTACATTGGTATGTGTCAGCAGGTCAAGGGATGTGATTATTCCCCTCTATTCAGCACTGGTGAGGCCACATCTGGAGCACTGTTTTGGGACCCCCATTACAGAAAGGAGGTGGACAAATTGGAGAGAGTCCAGTGGAGGGCAACAAAAATGGTTTGGGGGCTTGGGGACGTGACTTGTGAGGAAAGACTGAAGAACCTGGGCTTATTTAGTCTAGAAAAGAGAAGACTGAGAAGGGATTTAATAGCAGACTTAAACTACCTGAAAGGGGGGTGGGTGGGAGGGTTTGAGTGAGGATGGAGCTGAACTGTTCTCAGTGGTGGAGATGACAACAAGGAGCAATGGGCTCAAGTTGCAGCAAGAGAAGTTTCGGTTAGATATTAGGAAGAACTTTCTCGCTAGAAGGACAGTAAAACACTGGAACAGGTTACCCAGAGGGGTGGTTGAATGTCCGTCCTTGGAGGTTTTCAAGACACGGCGAGATGAAGCTTTGGCTGGGATGATCTAGTTGGGGCTGGTCCTGGTGTGAGTACGGGGTTGGACTAGATGACCTCCTGAGGTCTCTTCCCACCCTAACTTTCTCTGATGTTCTGATTCTCTGACTGACTTTCTTCAGTAGTTATCTAGTTGCTGGGTAATGTGTTCAGAGTACAGAGGGGGTTCAGTTTGGCATTTCAGCAATTAACACAGGAGGAGAAGACTTTGGGCAGTTCCCTACCTGCATTATACCAGAGTCCAGTGCCTAAGGCACAGATCTATCTTGGCAGTTCCTGTGA